CCCCAAAACCCCAAAACCCCAAAACCCCAAAACCCCATTTAGTGCTGAGCATATTGAAGTTTAAACTTTTCTTCTCTAAAAATGGCCTCTTTCAAAGGAGATATAAGGGAATTGAATCCTAGTATATCCCACCAACATAGAAAATTATACTTGCTGGTATTGAGAGAAACCAGATAGGCTAGAATTTAGTAAATGAGTCAAGGCTTTATCAAAATAATTCAAATTTCAATAAGAGGATAAATTGGATAAGAAAATAATTCTTAAGGGTAAGGAATCATGTCAACTGCTGGTGGCTTGAATCTTCTCTTTTTGTAGTCTCACATATTGCTAGTCTTGAAATGCTTTGGATTATTTCCAGTTCTAACAACGTCTGCCTTTGGTTTACAGGTCTGAGGTCTGTGATGAATTTGGTAGTCCTTGAAGTTTCTTTGGTTCGTTGTCTCAAAACCGTTTTCTTCAGCTCCAAGAAGTGGTCTGAGGTGAGAAGTACTAGCCATATGAGCATTTACATGAGGACTTTCACCAAAGCTTCCTCCAAATCCGGTGCTATATCCGTGTTGGGAAAAGCCATCATTCTGATTATGTTTGTTCTTAATAGTGTCCATCCCGAAAGGAGCTCCTCTTCCAACTTTCCCATCTGAACTTCCTCCTCAAAATGTTTTAGCATAATTTGAGTTTCCATTAAAAGGCAATGAATAATAAGGATATTGGGGCTCTTTCTCATGAATAATTTCATTAGCTCCCCAGTTAGCAAAGTCAGATTGGTAAGCACTCTTAGCTCCAATGTATTCAGACTGTGGAGGAGCCTTTAATTTCTTAGGCTCACGTGGTTGAACCTTAAACGGTTGATAATCGATTCTATTAATAGTCAATTTCTCAACTTCATGAGGATTGATGATCTTATGCTCCTTCTCTACATTGAAAGGCTCCCCTCACTGCTTTCCTCCAGGAGCCTTTAGAGAATTGTACTTAGCGTAATCCTTCTGATAATTTGTACCTACATGGCTGGGATATTTATATTTAACGACTCTGTCTACTACTAATCTTCTTCCTGGCCTCCCCATATGATGGTAATGATACTCCATTTGACTTCCAGTAACCTTATCTGGGACGTAAAAGGCTTTACCAGTGGATACACAAGCATTGTCGTAGTCGTATCTATGCCTAACTTGCTTTCTACAAGTTATTTGATAAAATTTACTCAATGGAGTTATGCTTTCTATATTTCTTCTGGTCTCTTCTATGCTTAGTCCTATCAACAGAACGGGTATGAGCAGACTTAGGCACCCTGTTTGAATATTTAGACACAATCTGGTTATCAATCTCTTTATTATACATTGTTTGTTGAGGAGAACCGGTTTTAAACTCTGCTCCATAAGTTGTCTGCTTACAGAATCTGTCCCTCTGTCTATCTTTATACTTCCCTCTCTTCTGGGGAGAAGGCTCTATACCAAAAATTACTCTAGAATGGAAATAAATTGTTATATGCATTTATAAGCAAACTCAAATATTAGTTATACTTCTTCCTCCGTGAGCCATCTTTTTATTTTTATAAAATAAAACAGTCATTTTTTATTTGAGCAAGGGGTTTTGGGGTTTTGGGGTTTTGGGGTTTTGGGG